TTCCACACTGGTGGTTATATAAGCTTTATCTTCTTGTGGTTAATTTCTAGTTTTATGGCATTGTAATCTGAGAAGATACTTTATATTATTTCAATGTTTTTGAGGTGTTTTTTTCTTTTTAGGTTTGCTTTGTCCCCTAATATGTAATCAATTCTGAAAAATGTGTCATATGCACATGAAAAGTAAGTGAATTGAGTTTTAGCTGGGTGCAGTACTTGGAATACATCCACAAGGTCAAGTTGGCTGAATGCATAATTTAAATCTTTTGCATCATTCTTAAGTTTTTTTTTATGTTGACCTATCCTTTGGAGAAAGTAGTGTGTTTAAAGTCTCCACTGCTATGGTGATATTTTTTTCTTTCTTCAATTTTGTTACAGTTGTTTTATGTATTCAGCAGGCCTATAATTTGGTGCATAGAGGTTGCCCATTGTTATGTCTTCTTGGTCTACTGTGTCTTTAATCATTATATAGTGTGCTTTTTTATTTATGATGGTTTTCATTCTGAAGTCTGTTTTATCATATATTAGTATTCCCACTCCAGGTTCTTTGTGGATACCATTTACTTGGCATAATTGTTCTTTTTCTTTTATTTTTAAAGACTCTGACTTTGTATCTATCTTTCTCTTCATTTCTTAGATGTTTCTCTTGTAGACAACATATTAATTGGGTTAGCGTTTTAATCCATTCTGCTCCTGTTTTTCTCTTGATTGGTGCATTTAGTCCATTCACATTAAATGACAGACTAGGTTTTATTATTATTTTATTATTATCATTTTGCTGTGTTTCTCTTTTTGTTGTTCTTTTTTCTATGGTCCATTCACTTTCCTTTGTAGCCTCTGTGTGAAGGAATTCCCTAAAAAGTTCTTATAGATTTAGTCTTGTTTTTATAAATGCCTTTTTTTCTGCAAAGGATGTTATTTCTCCTTCATATTTGACAGAGAGCTTGCTAGGTAAAGGATCTCAGTTGGCAATTGTTTTCTTTCAACTTTCTGTATATGCCATACCATTGGCTTCTTGCTCACATGGTTTCTGCTGAAAAATCAGAACTTAATCTAATTGTTTTTGTTTGTAGGTTACTTACTCTTTCTTTTTCTTGTATTGTTTTTAGTATTCTATCCTTATCTTTTATTTTGGAGAATTTTATTATCATATGTCTGTATGTTTTTCTTTTAGGGTTTAGTCTGTTTTGTGTTCACTGAGCTTCTTGAATGTGGATTTCTTCATTCTTCATAATACTAAGAAATTTTCTTCTAGTACCTCTTCCACAATTTTCTCCATGATTTCCCTGTGCCTCTCATATCCTGGAATTCCAAGGCTACTGGTTTCACTCCTTTTGATGTCATCCCACTTGATTCTAATCTTGTCTTCATTTCCTTTAGGTCTTATCCTTGATAATTCTTCTAGTATGTTTCCATTGAGGTTCTTGTCTTCCAGTTCACTAAGTTCCTATTCCCTCTTTTTTGTTCTTCATTTTTGTCCTTCCAACATGTTGGACACTTTTACCAGTCATAAAATTAGTAATTGACTTTTCTTGCATTTTTTTATTTACAACCTTGTGTTGGCTATACCATTTCTATCTTGTGATAATTTTTTTTTAGTTCTTGTATCTCTTTATCTATAGTTTCAATTCTTCCATAGTTGTGCAAGTTCCTTCTTATATATATGTGTGTGTGTATGTATGTGTGTGTGTATATATATATATAAATATATATATAATATATAATATGATATATGAGATGATATGAGATATATGATATATGATATATGATATATGATATATATAAAATATAAAATATATAATATATATATTTAGTTATCTCCTTCTAGGTTATTCTTTTATTTGTGACTTTCATTGTTTCTGCCATCATTAGTACTTTCATTCATAGCTGTTCCAATGTCTGCATATCAATATATATCATCTGCCTTCTTGATTCTGGCGTATTCATGAAGTCTGCAATAGTCTCTGCTATTTTGGACAAAGCTTAATATGTTTTTTTCACAGTGTTTTATGCTGTCTGCTGCTTTCCTGATATTATATGAAGTTTTTCTTAATGAGTGTTAGGCTGTTTCTATTGTGTCTGTGTAAGTTGTCTGTAGTTCTTGTCTTTATGATCTTATTGATTAGTTGCAAGTTTAAAATGTTCAATCTATGGGGTCAGACGCTCACTCTACTAAAAGTCTCTTCTGGGACAATTGGCCTTAACTAAAGTCCGTCCTAGTTTTGCACTGCAGCCCTGCAGGAATTTTGCCTTCATATAGACCCTTGTCCCAAACTCTATTTCCTCCTTCCTGTATGAAATTGCTGAGTTGTGTGAGACCAGATGCTTCATTTGAGCAGTTTCTCTTTCACCTTTTCTCCTGAAGTGTCATGTCTTTCTTTTCTCTTGAGTGATGCAAGATCAGGCCTGCCAGCTCAAGCACCTTGTGGGCAGGGGGTGGGGTTCTCAAGTCAGCCCTCTCTAACTCAGAAAGCTGAAAAAGACTTTCCTGTGATTGTAACTTTGTGTCCCAAGCTCTCTTATCCTGTTTGCTCCCTGGAATAGCCCCACAGCTGTAGAGGCAAGGATACCCAAATGGAGGAACCTATCCCTAGGGAAGCCTGAGTCCCGTTTCCCCACAAGCACTGGAGAGGCCCTTCATCACCATTGCCTCTTGAACATATATTGTTTCGTGAAATTCTATGTCAGCCAATTCTTTTTGGTATAGTGAATTTGTGACTTTCTTCCAACTTCTTTTGTTGCTTCTTGGATCATTCAACATTTTGCCATCAGCACCTTTAAGTACTGAAACTCAAAACTTAAATTTGCTCTTCAGTTCCTTCAGTGTAAGAAATGCTGTGAAAGTTCCTCCTTTCTGATTTTCTGACTCCAGTTCTTTGCACATTTCATTATAATATTTTGTCTTCCCACACTGCCCTTCAAAGTCATCTATTCAGTCCTTAACTTCTTGATTTTTTCTCTTTGCTTTGGTTTCTCTGTGCTTGAGTGCAATATTTAGAGTTTCTTCTGACATCCATCTTGGCCTTTTCTTCTTTCTCCATCTCTGTAATGACCTTTTGCATTCTTCATGGATGATATTCTTGATATCCTCCCACAACTAATCTGGTCTTTACTCATTAGTTTTCAAGGCCTCAGACCAGTTCCTGAGATGGTTTTAAATTCAGAAGGGATAGACTCAAGGGCAAACTTTGTTTCTTATAGATTTTATTTTCTTTAGCTTCAGTTTGAATTTGTGTGTGAGTAGTTGATGATCTGTTCCACAATCAGCACCTGGCATAGATTCCACAGCTTATATTGAACTTCTCCAATGATTTTTCCCATAGATCAATCTTATTCCGGTGTGGGCCATCAGGCAATGTCCATGTGTATAGTCACCGTTTGTATTTCTTATAAAAGGTATATATATGCAATTAATAAATCATTGATTATACAGAATTCTGTGATTATGTCTCTAGCATAATAACTTTATTTCTAAGAGCTTTTGATGTAACTTCTTTTCTCTAATACCCTCTTTTTTTAGAGGTTGATTTTCATTCACTGTTTCAGGCCCTGAAAAGATTTATTAATTATAGCAAGTTATATTCTTCAGTTTGGGAATTTTCTTTTTTTCTACATTTTTTTACATTTTCCTGCACTTTATATACTTCCTCACATTCCTTTTATTTGAATATTATCTCTACCAAGATTGTAATTTCTCATCTCTTTTCCTTCAGTTAGTCTTTCTACACTAGTATCAGAGAGATTTCTTCAACTTTATCATCAAACTCCTACTATGTCTTTTTTAATTATTTTAATTTTCAGAAACTTTTTGTTGTTCTCAGAATGTTCTTTTTCAAAAAGACCTTGTGTTCCTGTTGTTGTTCTTTGTTATATACCATGCAGCTGGAATCAATTCATAGCTGGCCCCTGGTGAGTTTTCCAAAGCAATTATTCACACAGAAAGAAATTTCCCATTCTTCTGCACAGCAGCTGGTGGATTTGAACTGCATGCCTTTGGGATAACAGCACAGCTTCCCCAGGGCTCCCTATTCCTATTTAATGGATATAATAATTTTTCTTAACTCTGAACATGTAATAGTTTCCTTGAGGTACTAGTCAGCCTATAACCTGTTTCTTTTAGCCTGCTTCTTTCAGTGTTTTACTTTCTTTGATTCTACAGATTGTTCTCCATTGTCTGATGATCCACTATATGGCTGAGATCTTTATGTCTGTTAGAGGGCAAGTTGGTTTTGATTCTGAGATTTTTGCATATGAAGAAGTTCAATTAGGGTATATTTAAAGTCTGTATTTTCATGATTTTTATCTTGGTATGTAAGAGTCCCTAAGACAAATCTTGCTACTGCCTGTCTTGAAGGATTAAGCACAAATTCAGCTTTTGGGAGTTAGAAGCAAGAATAAGGCTGGAAGATTTCAGTTTTCACAATGTATGAGTTTTTATATAAATCTGTTGCTACCAGCATGGTACCCTCACCATCAACTCTGATATTTCCCAATCGACAGACCCTCTGTTTAACACTTTTCAGAGAATCAATCTTTGTAGTTTTTCACTGGTATGGAGGAGAAAATGTTATTGTGCTAACAAGTAACATAATGGATGAGCTCTCTGGATCTAATCTATACATAGGTTTATAGCTAATTCTTTGTCTATATGCCCACCATCCTGTACTGAGAGATACTTATGCCAACTTTTGAGCCATGTTATTTTTCTGTGTTTCATTCCAGGTTCTATAGGCTTCCTTCCTACCATTTTCAGGGTTGTTTACGGGTGTTTCAGTCACTTATTAATTTTTCCACTATCCAGCTTTCAAAATGGTCTTGCTATTTTATTCTCTACTGCTCTACTTGCCTTTGCACATACACTGTTTTTTAAAAATGCTGTTGCTATTTTGGTGGGTGTTTAGGATAATGTGATGGTAAATACATGTATTCATTCAATATCTTTAACTGGATATTGAGAGGAGTATTTTTCATGTAAACTTGTTTTGCTCTCACTCTCACTAGGAAAGCCGGGTTAGTAAAGCAGTTGAAGTGATGATTCAACATGTAGAAAACTTGAAGAGAATGTATGCCAAAGAGCATGCTGAATTAGAAGAACTGAAACAGGTTCTTTTGCAGAATGAAAGATCTTTTAACTCTCCTGGAGATGAAGGTAATTCATAAAAGTTTAAGATAACAATATCAATTGAATTTTTCCAACATTTTGCTTTCCCCCCCATTTTTTTCTTTATATACTTTATTATAGCTTAGTATAAGATCCTTAAAGTTATTAAATAAGTCATTCCTACCTATTTAGATAATCTTTTTAGACAATCAAAAGGAAGATGTCAGAAAATTGGCACAGGACTATTGTCAGAGAAAAGAACTTACTGATAATGATGCCAAAATACAGTAAGTCAATTTCATTTGCTGAGATGACAGAATCTATTTCATCCAGTTCATTGAGTTGACTGTCTTGTAGAAACTGAGTTGATTCAAGCTTGTGGTGGCTACACATGTTGCAGAATATAACTGAGCTTGATAGGGTTTTATTTTGGGTTTTTGTTGTTGCTGTGCATTTTTTTTAGGCTTTAAATGTGATGGAAGTAGCTGACTAAGAAGTTCTGCCATGTAACCACTAATTGGGTTTGAACCATTATTTTAGTTGTTGTTGTTGTGGTAGTGGTGTGCTGTCAAGTCAGAACTGACTCATACCTGATCTCCAGTGGTTTTCAGAGGCAGTAAATCTCACAGAAGGAGATAACCCACGCTTTCTCCTGCGGAGCAAGTGGTGAATTTGAACCACCTGCTTTGGGTTGGTAGTGCAGCACCTTAGCACTAGGCCACCTGATAATAGTCAAGAGTAAATTGTGACAACTAGGGACCTAAATTGATCCTGGTATTATTTTCTGCTTAGGATATATTATAGTTAATTCTTTTTCCACATGTAAGGTGGACTGTAATAATGTAAATAGTTTATTTACTCATCAGTTATGGCTTTTTATTCTCCAAAGCTGAGATGATGTTGGCACAGTAAACTGAATGGATTTTAAACTGGGGAAAAATTATATGTCATGTAAGTTATGTTAATATAAACAAAAAATAAATAAAATCCATTGCCAGTGATTTGATTGTGATTCTAAGCAACTGTTCTGAACAGGGTAAAAAGACTTCATTTCATTTTCAAGGCTGGAACTCTTCACAGAAGCAAACTGCAACTGGTACATCTTTCTCTAACAAAGTGATTGCGGGTTCTGAAAACTGACATTTGAGCACTTCAGCTTTCTGTTAAACAAGGTATCACTAGGGCTGCTCACATTATAGTGATATTGTGAGAGAATTAGAATCAGAATTTCTGATAAATCAGTTTTACACAAATCTTTTTTCCCCCTCTATATTATACAATGTACAACCCTGCTTACTGAAACTGAGGAGGACCTCACGGACTTGCTACAGAAGGTCAAGGACTGCAGCCTTCAGTATGGACTGAGGCTCAATGTCATGAAGACAAAGATTCTCACCACTGGCCCAATTGGCAGCATCAGGATGGATGGTGAAGAGATTGAGATTGTTCACAGTTTCAGTTTGCTCAGCTTCACGGTCAACACTCTAGGCACCAGCAGCCAGGAAATAAAAAAAAAAGTATTGCGATGGGAAAGTCTGCTGTTAGGGACCTCCCTAAAGTGCTCAAAAGCAATGGTGTATCTCTGGAGACTAAGGTGCATCTGATACAGGCCATGGTCTTTGCAATCACTTGTTATGCATCAGAGAGTTGCACAATGACTAGGGAGGATAGAAGGAGAATTGATGCCTTTGAGCTGTGGTGCTGGAGAAGAGTATTTATTGAATGTACCATGGACTGCCAAGAAAACAAACGGATTCATCCTGGAGAGGGTTAAACCAGGCTACTCCTTGGACGCAAGGATTCTGGGGCTTTGTCTGACATACTTTGGACATGTTGTAAGGAGGAACAGGTCCTTGGAGAGGGCCATCATGCTTGGGAGGGTGGAGGGACAGCACAGGAGGGGAAGACCCTCTATGACGTGGATTGATTCAGTGACTGCGGTAATCAGGATGGGTGTGTCAGAGGCAGTGCGATTGGCATAGGATAGAGCAGGGTTTAGGGTTGTTGTACATAGGGTCGCTATGAGTCGCAAGCAACTCGATGGCACATAACAATAACAACATATTATACATGAACTTTTCTGTTAAAGTTCTTATTTATGTGAACTCTTCCTCCTTCTAGACAAGTAACTGTAATAGATACTTTTCTGATCTGTGTTTAGGCTTTAATTAATTCAGTAGATGCCATTTAGTGCCTGCTGATCCAGACCATGGTCTTTGAAATTACTTACTATGCATCAGAGAGCTTGACAATGACTAAAGATGACAGAAAAAGAAATGATGGCTTTGTGTAGTGGTGCTGGAGAAGAGTCTTGAACATATCATGGACCACAAAGAAAACAAATAAGTCTGTCTTGGAGAGGGTGAAACCAAGTTTCTCCTTGGATGCTAGGATTTTGAAGCTCCATCTCACACACTTTGGGCATATGGTTATCCATCCTTGGAAAAGGATATCAAGCTTCAAGGGTGGAGGAACAGTGAAATAGAAGATGAACCCGAATGAGATGGACCAATACAGTAACGGGGCAATGGGGTGGGTATGTCAGAGTCAGTGAGACTGGCTCAGGACAGAGCTGGCTTCAGAGTTTTTGCATATAGGGTCACTATGAGTTGCAGTTGACTCAACAGCACATGACAACGACAACAACAATGTATTAGGTAAAAGGAGCCCTAGCGTAGTGTGTAATAATCAGGCTGCTAAGGGTTGATGGTTTGAATCCACCAACCAATTTGTGAGAGAAAGATAGAACAGACTTCTCCATAAAGAATTCCAGCCTTGGAAATATAATGGAAGGTTACTATGAATAGGAATTGATGCAGTCATCAAGTATTTGGCTGCTAAACAAAAAGTCTGTGGTTCAAACCTGTCAGCTCTAGGAGGAAGAAGGAGCAATCTCCTCTGGTGAAGCTATATAGCTTTGGAAACCCTATGAAGCTGTTCTGTAGGTTATGGTTAGTTAGAATCAATTTTATGACAACAGACTTGAAGATTTTTTTTAATGCGCTAGATATTGTAAACCTCTAAAGCAAAAAGGGATATTGCGTTCTAGTGGCTAGAAGAGTAATTTCTCTGAATCACTAAATTAATGTCAAATTGATATTAATTAGCATTGCTCGATCATCTGCAAAGTCTTACACAAGATCTTTTCTGACAATGCATTTATTTTAAAGAGTTATGACATTTCATTTAGTATAAACCACACAAATAATTTCTAACATGTGTTTTTCTTCAGAAGACTGCCAGATTAAAAAACGTTCAGCGTCTCTGAACTCCAAGGTAATTATTAATTCCCTTGATAATTTCACCTAGCAAATGCCTATCAAATACTTGGAAATAAGGTTATTTTTTAAATGTTATTTGGAGCTACATAGTTTTAAATGTAAATCACATAAGAGTTTTTAATGTGTATATGTGTGTATTTGTATTTACATATTTATGCTTTTATACTCCTTGTTATATTAATTAAGCCTGCTTTCCTGGTTCAGGAAAGACATATTAACAATAATGTATTTCTTCCTCATGGAAACAAAAGTTGACAATCAGCATGCCAGGGAAGAGAGAGCAGTTTCACCAGATCCACAGGGACATTTTCTATTCCATCCTTCTCAGCTGGCTACTTCAGAGTCTGCACTAAGTCCACACTGTAAAACCCAGTCACTTTCTAAGAAGAAAGTAGCATAGAGAGATGTTTCTCTTCTCTCTAGAAACACATGTTAGACAATTCACACCTTTCTAGGTAAATGGAGGAGAATGGGATATTAAAGATCAACCAGCAGATTCTGCTATAATTGAAAAACAAGATTTAACAGATGTATGTTTTTGAGCAAGTGATTCTACAATCACTCTATCCAAATCCTTTTTTTTAACATATGAGGAAATAATGAAGCCCAGAAATGAAGTGATTAATCTTTAATCATTTAATACTGTGATCCTGTAGATGTTATTGTGTGCCCTCAAGTTAGAACTGATCCATAGCTGACCTTTCAGCAAGTTTTCAGAGGCTGTAAATTGCACATGATGAGATTGTCCATTTTTCTCCTATGGAGAATATGGAGGAAGATTTCAACGTCATGTCTTTGCGTTGGCAGTGTGACTCCTTACCACAGAGGGTCATATTTAAGCCTTAAGAACCATATAACACTACATAATCTTTTTCTTTGTAAAGCTCAAATCTTATATAAAGACATCTATGCTTTAAG